CCAGCCACCCTGCGGAGGAAACCCATTTCGGCCGCTTGTATCCGGGACCTCGTTCTTTCGGTCATGACCCAAAGCTCATGARCATAGATGAGGGTAGGAACGTAGATCGACCGGTAAATCGAGAGCTTCGCTTTCTGACTCAGTTCTCAGTTCTGTTTTTGCTTTATTAAAGATTATTCCCTCCAAGTCTTATATTTAAGTTTAAATCAATTACAGCGGTAAACAAACACTTTCATAAGCATCAAGCATTTCTTGATTGATTTGGTCAGGATTGATCAGGTCTAACTCACTTCAGATGAAGACATTCCTTCTTCCACCTCCAGACCTGCAGCAAAACAAGTCTATTCAGGTTATTGGTGAACCCAAACCAAACATCTATTTCCTCCACCTCCTGCATTCCTAATATGCCTCCGTTTCTTCCCACTCTGGGCTGTTGACAGAATTGCTTTTGTACAGCCCATTTATTTCCATCTGCCTGTTCTCCCTCCATTCTCTCCACCACACCTCCCATTATTTCTCTCTTCTTTTCTCTCTTTGCTCTCGTCGACTCCCTATACCCAATATCTGAAAGTCAGACATTTTGCACAAATTGTTAATTTCAGCCAAAAGGAAAGTTGCATTCATAGTTTCTCCACCCACAAGAAAATAAAATAAAACATAAAAATCATGCTTGGCGTATGATAGAGTTTAGGAAATTTACCTTTAAACTTTATTAGCTTTGTTGCATGTTTGAATCTTGTTCATTACAGTCAGCCATTTTGTAGCACTGTTTGAACTTTTAACTGTAGTTTCCTATTGGATATTAGAAACTTGTCATGTGGTACAATAAAGATAGTACAGTTAGCTGCAATAAACTTTAATGCAATGTGGTCTAATGTTATGTTAACACAACAGCACTATTACCAAGGAGTACTGCTCAAGTCTTTGTTCAACTTTGGTTTTTAATAATACTTATTTTCTCCTATCTTACAAGTTATTTCTCCTTCCTGCTCTTTCTTGTTTTTTTATCAGTTCATCCCTTGAGTCATAACTCTGCTCATTCACAGGTTTTTTTTCTTACCTCTACAGACATGTCTCCACACTGCCTACTTTTTTTCTATTTTGAATCTATTTTTGTCATTTTGATCCACAATTAGCATCATTTCTGGTTTTCTGCTGTTGAGTTTGGCAGCCAGTGCTCTTTTTCTCCTCCGTGTTCCTCTAGCAGATGATTCACACACTGCTGAACGCAGTTCCTACGGGCACCAGGATGGATGTGTGCAAACAGAATGTGCGTGAAAAAGAGGCGGCAAAAAAAAAAAAGAATGAATACATTAGTGGTGTTGCAATACTGATACCGATATTGGGCCTGATACCAGCATTTTTAGAAGTACTTCCTCATTCAAAATGTCTCGATACTCGGAACTGATACTAAATATGTATAT